TTTTTCTTCTCGAAGAGGCCCACTCATGTCACATTTGGTTAGAGCGTGTCCCGAGCCAATCCAATCCAGCTGATAGTTTGTCTCGAAGCCAGGTGGCTCACTGGGCTGGACACGAAAGGACCAGAGTTGATGTCTCTAAGTTGTGGGACCACACGGCCAGTAGCATGGGGTGAAAGCGCGCCGAAGTGGCAGAAGCGAAACCGATCCCCAATGGAAAAAGAGCTTGCTGCTGCGTTTCGGTCATGCATGGAGTATCTGACAAGTGTCAAACACCGCAGCAACATGAAGTCACAGAACATAAGAATACTCTCATGGGGAATTGATTCTTGCATTGAGCTTGCGGTTGCAAGGCATATGTGTGGAATGTTGAACCAAAATGTCCACCGGACATTTTGGCTCAAGCATAATCCAGGTGTGTCACCTGGACAGATTTTGAAAAAGTTACTTTCGTGTATTTTCTTTCGCCCGTTCTTCGAACATGTCGGTTTCGTCGGGCGACGAGTGGGAGATGATCTCCAATGCTCTGATCAAGGATCAGGACGAAGCCATCGACTTCCTTGCGCGACCAGGATCTCCGGGAGAGGAAGTGTCAGCTGAACTTCAAGCCAAAAATGACTTGCAAGACACCATCAAAGACTGTCCATGCTGGGATCCGTGGCGCGACAATGACACAGGATGATGTGATGGAGATTGAAGGAGAATCAGTGGCGGCTTCAATGGAGACGGGGGATACTTCTCGAGCTGGCATTGGCATGAAGGCAGATGTGAGCGGAGGCTACTCGGAAGCTGGACAGGTGCCGCAGGCCCTGAAGGCGGAAGGTGCCGGCCTCGTGCACCCAGAGGTTCAACCTCTGATTCATCAGCCAGTTCGTTGGCGATTGGATTCCGAGAACCATGCATTTAGCAAACTTGTTGCTTTCCCGGACTCTTTTCCCTGTGTGCCAAATTATTTGGTCAACATGTTGCAGTCATGCACGGAAACAGAGCTAATGGACCTGTTTTCTCGGTTCATGCACCACCCGTTGTCTGAGGCAGTTGTGCGGAGGATTCTGGAAACGTACATCCCGATGAAAGCATCATGTCAACAAGAAGTCACCTGGACCATGAATGTGCAGAAGGGCACGTCCACAGCGGGCCTCGGATCAGTTGACCTCAGAGCCTGACCACTGGGCCAACAGCCCTACACTCACATGTGCAGCTCCTGTACGTCAGGCTGGCCAGAGCGGGTCACTTCCTGTTTCCTGTGCCAGAAGGGGACAAGAGTGTCACTCGTCTCATTTACGGCGTTCTACACTATGTATGATGTGGTGTGGTCCTGGTTTCGGTGGATGGCTAGCCTACCTGGGTGCAGTCCAGTCCTGTGAAGGGCGCCGCTGGCCCCGCAAGCCCGACTGGACTGGCTCAGAAGCTCGCCCATTCCATTGATGCCACGCAGATGGCACAACCTCCTGGGGGTTACTTCATCCTTGGATGAGGTGACCATGGCGGATGCAATTTCATTGGCGCTCCGGACGAGCATGCGAGAAGAGGTCCTGGAACAGATTGTGGATGAGGACGTCAAGGAAGCGGTCACCCTGATCAAAGAGCGGAAAAAGAACTTGGCGGCGAAGCGATTTCAGGGATTTCAAGTCTTCTATCCGGAAGCGGCCAAGGCCTTGGACCTTCAGAGCAAAGCGATTCAGCACACTCACCTTATTCATCAGGAGGCGGAAATGGACGAGGAGATCAAGCGTCTGAAAACCGAGATGGTGAAAGGCACGGTGGCCCTCCACGGCTTGGATGAGATCTAAGGATGTCAAGAAGCTCGCGATGCTGACCTGGGTCATGAAGTACCGCAAGAGGGAGCAGAGAATGCATGCGGGCTGCTGGCGCAAGACCAGCGAGGCCCTGGAGCGTGGTACTCATGTGGACACTCTCACCGAGGACTCCATGGACTCAGTTCTCTTCACCCAGGAGGAAGTGCGGGCCATGTTTAGGCATGTGTTATCTTCGAGCTACTCTTTGCCTGTCAGGTATTTGCACGGCATGTTTATTTCGAGCAACTCGCTGTCTGTCAGGTGTTTGCAAGGCATGTTTACGCATGTCTTACTTTGGAGCAATTCACTGCCTGTCAGGTATTTGCAAGGCATGTTTAAGCCTGTCTTATCTTGGACCAATTTGCTGCCTGTCAGGTACCTGTAAGCCATGTTTTGACGTGTTTTACTCTTGTGCAATTCACTGCCTGACAGGTATCTGCCTGGCATGTTTAAGCATGTCTCACTTTGGAGCAATTTGCTGCCTGTCAGGTACCTGCAAGCCATGTTTGGACGTGTTTTACTCTAGTGCATTTCACTGCCTGACAGGTATCCGCCCGGCATGTTTAAGCAGGTCTTATTTTGGAGCAATTTGCTGCCTGTCAGGTACCTGCAAGCCATGTTTTGACGTGTTTTACTCTCGTGCGATTCACTGTCTGCCAGGTATCTGCCCGGCATGTTTAAGCAGGGCTTACTTTGGAGCAATTTGCTGCCTGTCAGGTACCTACAAGCCATGTTTAGACGTGTTTTACTCTCGTGCAATTCACTGCCTGGCAGGTATCTGCCCGGCATGTTTTAGATATATGGGATGTCATCCTTCCACATGTCTTACTTTGGAGCAATTTTAAGCATGTCCTCCTTGGGACCTGGGACATTGCCCTTTTTTCTCGGTGTCGTTTCTTGGGACTTGACTCCCGGACTGGACTGACCGTGGACACCATGCACTTGCGTTTCATTGATGTTCACTCACACTGTGTGATGATGCACACCGTTCATGTTAACGGTGCTGATACTAGGGGGTTTCTTTGACACGCTTCAGTTTGGCACCTTGTGATGTCTTTTTCGGTTTTCATTTACTGCGAGCCTACACAAGGGAGCTCATTGTTCAGACAGGGTTAGAAGATGCGGGCATGCCCACAGGGCACCGCACCTCATTGTCACAAAGTCACTGACCACACCCTGGCAGCCACAATGGAACAAACCCCGGAAGGGAGACCCCAATGGAAAAGGGATGGTCAGGAACAACACTGGGGGAAAAGGTAAGACCACCAAAGGGAAATCCAAAGCCGCTGGCAAGCCTGATTGGCCCTCACACTGGGCATTCAAGGACCCCAAGAATGTTGCATATTGCAGGGGCTTTCTCTTGTATAAGACCTGCACGGGCCAGTGGGGCCGATCCCACAACTGTCCAGTCCGGGTAGACGGATGGATATGCGATGCAGCGCCAGGCACTCACCCCCCAGAAGCGAATGACAGGAGGCCAACACAGGTGCCGCAGGCCCTGAGCCAGCCTCCTCAATACAAAGGGCTGCATCAAGATTCCCCTCCCCGGGGAAGGACCTCAACGGTCCATATGACAACCAACGTCATGGCACCACGGACCCTGGGGTACACCCTGAGGTGGCACAACGTAAGAGTGTGAAATCTTTTTAAGGTCTCCCCTGAAATGTTTCCTTGGGCTTTCAAGAATGGAAACCCCCAGAAGAGAATTGCAGCACTGGAGCTGCTTGGCACCTTGGTACTCACCCACTGTATCTTGCAAAAGCAGGGCACGACGGCCGCTGCAGTGAGAATCCCCGTTGGCAGTGATAATCAAGGAAACGTTTTTGCATTGCTCAACTTTGCATCCAAGAAGCCACACACTGCGGCCATTTTGATGGAACTCGTTTTGCGTCTTCATGTCGCTGGCTGCTCGTTAGCACCCTGTCATGTTCCTCGAGAACTAAATCAATGGGCGGATGATCTCACGCACCCGCTCTACGATGGCTTCTCATCCGAGCTCTATCTTCCCCAGAGACTCCGTCAGAGGCTGGACTTGGACACCAGTATCCCTCGACAGGTGGGGAAAACATGTGGTACTGTTGTTGTACGCAGGCAAGGATGATGCAGGCTCCTTGGACGCCTGTCTGCATGCACACCATGCGTGGATTTCCCCCTTCATCAGAGCCATTGACACGAGGCGAGACCCCAGAAAGCTGGGCCAAACATGATGGCGTCGGAACCATACAACACCCTGTGTACCCTGGCGGCCCGGGGCCTGGTCCCAATTGTATTGGGCGGCCCGAACTGTAGAACCTGGAGCGCCTTGAGATGGTTCCCCAAACCAGGTGCCCAAAGAGTATCGCTCTGAGGAGGATGTCCAGAAGCACCACTACATGAGTGTGTGGCGCACAGCTGCTTGGCGCGAGTTTCAACAAGGGGTCTATGGACATGTCAAGCCGAAGCTCATCACCTTCGGACACAACATCAAAGGCTTTGCGCTGCTACATGGAGGCAAAGCTCCACGTGACACAGAGTCTCAGGTGGCAGACCAAGTTCGACCAATGCCGCTTAGGGCAATTGGCGGCCAAGTCAACCACCCCCTCAACAGACTTGGAGTTGGGACATTGGATGGGCATGACTTGTGCTCACCCAGGCCACCCCAAGTTGGCAGCATGATCAGCAGTGATGTCAGCAGATACCCCTGGCAGATGATGCGGGGACTAGCACCAGCTATTGCCATGAGAGCCAGACCCGCACTGGAGGTACCCACGCCCGGAAAGACAGTACCCTTGGAAGAGACCCCGTATCAATCAGATCCCAGAGGCACAGGCCAAAGTGAACAAGGCTCTCCCAGCACCAGTGGGACACCAAGGAAGGCACCACCAAGTCACTCAACGCCCAACACCCAGGATACACACAATGGGGAAAAAGTCATACAGGTGCCGCTGGCCCTGAGTGCGGAAGGTTCACCCAGTGCACCCAAGACCCCCCAGCGGGGAATGATAAGATCACCACCAGCCTCACCAGAGAAACACAGGGCAAGCAAAGGCCTCCGTGCCCTTTCCTTGCTCACCTCTGGTATTCAGGGGAAACCAACCAACTAAGGCAACTACGACTTTGTCGTCCCCTCTTCCGATGGCACAACAGAGTGAAAGACCACTCCCAAAGTTCCCGGACCCTGGGGTACACCCCCAGGTGGTACAACAAACGAGTGGAGCACCACTCTCAATGATCCCGGACCCTGGCCCAGTGTGACGGCCAATCGAGCTTGCCCGGGGTCTTTGATTTACCTTTGGTGGTCTTGCCCTTGCCCCCCGGGGTTCCTTTGGTGGTGCCCTTGCCCTTGGGTTCCCCTGTTCGTGGTTTCATCCACTGAGGCTGCCAAGGTGCTGTTGCCTGTTGGATGGTTGTCTTGGTCTTACCCTTCCCCTTTGTTTGGATGGTCGTGACCGTCTGTTTGTTGACCCTTTCATAAACTTCACGGGTCCAAAATGAAAGGTCCAATTTGATGGTGCGAAGGGCTTCACTGAGGGCCGTGCCACCGTGGACCATGTCATGGATCTTCCTCCATGCATTTCTTTCTGCATAGAGCAGGATTGCCTCCGACGGTGGAGGAGAGCGACCTGCAATGTCCTCTCCATGGAACCATTCATACCATGCGTCCAGCTCTACTTTGGTAATGCACAGATTTGAAAACTGTGGGGCAGAGGCAGTGCACATCAACAGGGTCGTGCGGAAGACCATGTGCATTCTCTCAAGTTGTCTCCGGGTAGTTGGGTTTGATCTGACTTCCTCTTCTTCGTGGCCTTCCCAACCATCCATGGTGAAACGTTTGGAAGTCTTTGTGGGGCGTTCCCCTTTCTCAGGGAGAGCACTGGTCAGGTGCTTCACTTGGATGAATCCAATCTCTCCTCTTGTTATGAACCTGTGTTGTCGCTTGAGGAGTGCATCACTGCCTTGTAATTCAAGCCGGGGCCTGCTCACCTTGTAGGTCTTCATGTACGTCTCCTCAAGGATGCGTCTGTCCAGTGAGATCTCCAGGGATGATCCTCCCGGTGTGATGCTTCGGGGTAGTGCTCCCTGGGTGTAGGCTGTCCCCGGGATCGTGACCAACATCCTTGCAGCCCTGACCGCCTGGAGGAGCCTCATGGCAGTGAACGCCGTTGATTGTGACGTGAAGCCATGGTTGCCTTCTGTGAAATCGAGCTCTCTGGGTCCATGGTTACGTGCTTCCGCTGGGCTATCCCATCTGTCAGCCCGTCCTCAACTGTGATGTAGCCCTGTCTGGCCAGTTCTCCTTGAATCCGCCATGGGATCTGTTTGGAGACCAGCAGCACTGAAAGGCCCTTGGAGAGTCTTTCCACATCTTCTTGCTGATCTGGAGGTATGGCCTCAGGTGGCGTGGCTGGTGGTGATGCAGCCGTGCCTTAGTCCCTTAGTGATCACAGTAGTGCCAACCAAGGGTGGGTGTGGTGGGTTTTCAAAATCTGTCCAGGTGACACACCTGGATTATGCTTGAGCCAAAATGTCCGGTGGACATTTTGGTTCAACATTCCACACATATGCCTTGCAACCGCAAGCTCAATGCAAGAATCAAATGTATGTAAGTGTGAAAAAATGATCCAAATGAAGAAAGCAGCAACGGCACCAACTCACATCCTTTGTTTACCGGTGCAGGGGTTGGTGCCAGTTTGTCCTGGTTCCCTTCGATTGAAATCAGTGTACAGTTCCTGCACAGTGTCAAAATCCAATCAACCAGGTGTGCCAGGTCGATGATTTCCGCCATTTCCGAAGGACGACCTGGCACAGCACGCCATTTCCGTAGGATGCCGGGTGTCCATCGGGATCTTCAACAGGGCCAGCGGCACCTTTCCAATCCGTCAAGGAATCCTGGATAAAGGGAGCTCAATGTGTCCATTGTCCGACTCTGTGTGAGATGATGAGGAGCTCCTTCATCAACAAAGCAAGGAGCCGAACTGTTTTGAATGAGCGACCCGAGGAGATGACTGCCATCTTCCAGGCCCAGGATGGTTGCAAAAGACTCTTGATCAGCAGGCACACTGCTGTGATCCATTGTAGTCTGCCAAAACTTTCAATGAACTTTGCCGTCATTGCCATATTCTGAATCAAAAGCTCCAGAACTTCAAAAACCAGGATGTGTTTCGTGACGATTATCTGAACCTGAGGAATGTTTGAGTGAATGACAAATCCCAACCATGTGTTGACCTCTGTCAAATGGGTCTTTTTCCAGCTCAAAGAGACTCCCAAAGCCACCAAGATGACAAGAATGACCGTGGCCACGTGGTCCGCATCTTCAGCACGTAGAAGCCAGCAAAAGTCATCCACAAACACAAAACCCCAGTCGACCTGAGGGAAAATGTTGTAGAGGAGTCTCAGAATGAGAGCCGCTGTTCTCCCCCAGTACAGTTATGCACTTGCCATGCCGCAGGTACCCACTTTGTGGATCCACCATTCTCCTTCTAACTTGGAATCGCCAATCCTCCGGAAGGATCTTGATCCTGCGGTGTGCTTGGGCACCATCTGCGTTCAGGAGCATCCATTGTGGTTGCAGTTTTGGCCATTGCCATTGGTCAGCAGCTCTTCCCCCATCCTCTGGGCCTGCGGCGTCAGTAGGCGGGGAGCGGCTAGCTGCATGGAGCCAGCGTAAGGCTTGAAACCAGTAGACTGAGTCACGGGCAGGTGACTGAGCATCTGACAACCATCCACCAATGTACGCGTCGCCAGTGAAGTCCGCACTGGCCTCACTACAGCCCCACCAAGAAGACTTTGGCAGGTAGGGCGAGAGTTGCCGATATGGGATGATGAAGAGCTCCTTTTGCAATAGTGCCAACAGGCGTACAGTCTTGGGTGGCCTCCCTGAAGAGGTTACTGCCATCTTCCAAGCCCAGAATGATTGTAGAAGACTTTTGATCAATGGGCATTGTAAGCGTCCCAAAGCCTTCTCAATGGCTTTGATTGTCATCACTGTGTTCTGGATCAGGAGTTCAAGGACTTCCAGGACAAGAATGTGTTTTGTCGAGATCATTTGAACTTGTGGAATGTTGGGGTGTATGACAAAGCCCAACCAAGTGTTGACTTCTGCCAAATGGGTTTTCTTCCAACTCAAAGGCACTCCAAGCGCAACCAGTGTAGCAAGAATTGCTGTGGCCTGGTGGTCTGCGTTCTCTGCACGTAGAAACCAGCAGAAGTCATCAACAAAAACAAATCCCCAGTCGACCTGGGGAAAAGGTTGTACAGCAGTCTCAAGATAAGAGCTGCTGTTCTGCCCCAATATAGTTGAGCACTTGCCATTCCGTAAGTGCCTACCTTGTTGATCCACCATTCTCCTTCCAGCTCTGCTACTTGAAACCGCCAATCTCGCTGGAGGACTTTGACCCGTCTGTGTGCCTTGGTCACATCAGCTTTGAGTAGAAACCATTGTTGTTTGGGTTTGGGCCATTGCCAGTGGTGTGTTGCGGTGGTGTCGTCCCGCAGGTGAGGGACCGTGAGTGGTTGTGAGTTGCTTCCTGATGATGATTTGCCTCCTCCATCACGTAGTGGTCTGGATTTGAAGGCCACATGGAACATGACGATGTCATCAAAGAGGTGGATGTAATTGGCCAGGGGCTCCACAATGGGCCTGTCAGAAGTGCGGGTTCCCCACCCATAATCCCGTGACCGGATTCGGTGGGTTGTCCTGTTCCCTTTCACCCTCTCCTACAGCTGTGACCAGTCGATTTGTGAATGGCGGAAATCATCGACCTGGCACACCTGGTTGATTGGATTTTGACACTGTACAGGAACTGTACACTGATTTCAATCGAAGGGAACCAGGACAAACTGGCACCAACCCCTGCACCGGTAAACAAAGGATGTGAGTTGGTGCCTTTGCTGCTTTCTTCATTTGGATCATTTTTTCACACTTACATACATTTCATGATAGATTTTTATGTGAATGATTTCATGTACATACGAAACGTTTGGTTGAGTGCAAAACATATCAAACCAGTCCTGATACTCTTGAGACCAGACCCCCGAAAACCCGAAACCCTCAAACCTGGTTACTTCTGATGAATCAGTTGAAAGTCTTGGCAAAAGGCTTTCGACCTGCAGGTGAGTTTTGCGGCCACCTCCCGGGCCCTCCCGGGGAGGTGTGATACACTGCGAATAGATACGGTTTACTGTCAGATCTTGATTCATCTGTCCACCTCCGTAGGACTTTCTGAGTTCCCACGCCAAAACGCCGCCGCCGCGCCTTAGGCGAAACGCCTTACGACATGGCTAAGTTGAAGGGCCACCGCCAGGTGATGGGCCTCCTGCGCCCAGCCTCTTGGCAGCCGTTCTGGAGCCATGACGAAGATCAACCATCACATTACTAGCCTGACCCATGATAGTATCAAACATTCTGGATACCATCGGAGTTGAACGATAAACAAACATGAGAAAACATTACCCATCAAAAGTATTTGGACGTTTGTATTAGTTGACCACCAAACATGATCAAACATGAGGATTAAACCATCAAACATGGGGATCTATGTTACTGTAGAACTACATTAACTACATTTTCACCGCCGCATCTATCCAACCAATTAACAATTCCTTTCTTGTTGTTGTTTGTTGTTATATGTGCGATGGTCAAGACATGGAATGTTTTCCCATAAAGGGGAATGGTCATCCCGTCATTGATAGGGAACTGTATACCCGTTGCTCTCACCCTACTTGTTATACTTGTTTGCTTCGCAGAGGATTGGTGCTCCAAGCATTTTTCCACACTGTCCCGTTAGTTGATTCTGGCACATCAGATTTTCTTGCCTGAACTATACCTGGTGCATCCCCCATGTTCCTTGCCCTAAGCACCACAGTCGTGTCGGCGCCATGAAAAAACACCGAGGTCTTTGTGGCTCTGCTGAGTGGCCGAAGCTGCCGTTGCACCTGGGCGTTGTGGGTAGATGATCCGAGGAATACCTGCTGACCGTCAGTGGAAAAAAAACAACCCCCGAATAGTAAATCAACATTAGTTTTCAATGGGTTTTCAAAGCGCTGGGACCGTGGTGACCGTCATAGATGATACACCATGTTGTTGAAGTGCCTATTGATTCGACCTGTTGACCGTCAACATAGTATAGCGTGGTATAACCAGCAAAATGTTGAAACAACATGAATAATTGGTTTTCAAGGCACATGGATTGCCCGGACAAGGGATTCGCGTTTTCATCCCACCCCATGACATTTTTTGTGTTGAGGCACCGCGTTGACGGAGTCCACACTGTTGTGTGCATAGTTGTTCTGCATCCCAAAACTGGAATAGGTTGCAGTAGGTATGTTGTGACCATGGACATGGGGATGCGGGGGCCGGCAAATTGTAACTTACATTATCTTGCCCCCCACCCATCCACATTTGGGTTGTTTGGAAACGCCTCCATCAACTTTGTTTTAAACGTTACCTTTTGCGCCTGTTTTCACTTTCTGTGGGACCGGCTCATCCAAGAAAATTGCATCTTCAAAGAACATCAATACATTTAGGAAGGTTTTACCTGCAAAATGTAATCTGACATTGTGGACGCCCCTCCAAAATTCAAGGGGACCGGAAGTTACATATCGGAAGATACCAATTTTCCAGGTTTCGGGAAAATGCAACTTCATTTAGCGAGCGCACACTCACCCAGAATATAAGTTACAAGACGCAATCAGTCAGTTGATTCGACGTGGTAGTAGCAAAACAATGAAGAATGACAACGTGTTTTCAAACGAATTAGTCTGCCAAGATACGAGATTTGCATCTTCATCCCACCCCATGACATGTTTTGTGTTGCACCACATTGACGGAGTCAGCAGTCCACTCACTTGTGCATCCGTGTTGTGCATCCGTGAAGAGTGGATCAAACCCAACCGAACTGAGGCGATTCGTCACAGGAGCGAACTGTGTTGGAGTTGAAAGAAGAAGCCGAGCGCCTTGGCACAGAGATGAACTCCGGGTTGACTGCCACAGGGCAACAGCTCAGTTGACGTCGGCAACAGATGGCAACAGCAGTTCGTTTCTGACAACGACAGTTGTGCAGGTTGGGTGCAGGTTGCAGGTTTTAGGGATCATATTTTGAGAGGAGCATTTTGAATGGAGTATTTTTTCAGACCCTCTTCAAATCACAATCTTGAAACGAAACTTAGACCTCCAAATCATGGAAGACCTCATGCAAAGTAGCAAGCGCCACTACAGTTGGCACACGCTTGGTACTTGTCTTTTCCACAAGTAATGAATCATCTCATCCAGATTCCGAGATGGATCAGTGGACCCTTCATGACCGTAATACCAGTGATACCCCAATAAGTCAAGATCTGAAATTGTGCCTCTTTTTATCTTTTCACGGTTCGTTTCCGTATGATGCGCTCAGAGCTAAATTGGTAACTTGGTTCCAGGCAGACACCTGTGACGTGCATCGCTTCCCTGATGCTGGTTGCAAGTCTTTGTCACAGAAGGGGCATTTCAGGGTTCATCTGACTGCAGCCTGTTGATGCCTGCTGCACACCCTGTCCAGTGGATCCGAGGAAAAAGCTCGGCATCAAGGTTAAACATATCATTGGACAAGACCACGAGCCATTGCTACTTGGCTGCACAGAACTTTTTGACCTTTCTGCCCAGCTGATGGAAATTCTATAATCCTGTCTCACGTGGGAAATAATCTTGCTGGGTATTGGTGGGAGGCCTCTTCATATCATTGCGTTGTTTTTGCATTGCCGGTGTGTATAGTTGATTGGCCTGATATTTTAAGTAGAATTCTTGCGAGTTTGGAAGAAAAAATAACCTGCACGAAGATGTTTTTGTTGCCTACTCAGCTGCTGGGTGTAAAGCTGGGTTAATATTCCATGCCACCAGTAACTTCTGTGACATCAGTTGCTGAATTGGATCAGTTTATAGCGGTCTGTGCCCAGGGATGAAAGCATGGAGCTTGCTGCAGCGCACATTGTGCCGGGCAATACATTGACCGACGTGATTTCAGTGCCTTGGCAACAGCAGCTGCAACATGACTTGCGACCGAGTGCTTGAGACAGTAGAAGCAGTAGCAAGCCAAAAAAGACCAGGGCAGACGGGCAGAATGCCTTTTGCCAGGCAATGTGGATGAGTGTTCACATCCACCAGCCAAGTTGACCACAATATCATATAGGGGTTGGGGCACAAGGGCTAAAAACCTAGGGCTGGAGCGCCTGGTTTTAGCCCACAGATGGCTTTGGCCTGTACTCCAAAAGCGTTACACATGGGTTTTCAGGACCTGGTGAAAAACCCTCAAGCGCCGGTATTCATCCAATAAGAGATTTTTTTAAAAGAACTTTGCCAAACGTCAAACTCAGGGGTTTCAGCCAAACTTGGATTTTCAACATGAGAGTTAGTGAAAGGCTGAGGTCACTGGTTTTTATCCAGAAACATTTTTTTCCAAAGAATTCAGCAGCTATCCAGGGGAACTTCAGTTCACAGGTTTTCATCTACAAATATAATTTTGGTTACGGGAACTTGAAGTGCTCACGGCATAAACCCTTAAACCTCAGTACAGGTTTTTATTCTCCGGGTCTTGCTGTTTTAACTTTGTTCCGATGTTGCCTCCAGCACCTCTCTCTCGCATTTGCTAGATGTGCATCGGGATTTGTAGATAGTATATTTGAATATATTTGAATATTCTTGCATCTATTTGAATATATTTGAGTACATGGAAGGACATCAAAAGACATGGCCAGAACACATGGATCCCTATGTTTATCCCTTTGTTTTTTTGGGCCATAGTGGATGGCTTTGCAGAAATGAGTGGTTGTGTATGATTCCTGCAGGCATGATATTCAAGGCTGATAATCCGCGGTGTAACTTGGAGAGCTGTTCGGGCAGAGTTCAAAACAGGGATGTGTGAGATGAAATCTCGGGGTCTGAGGTTTTGTGGGGTTTTTCTTGGGACATTGGTTCGAGATAGATGTGGGGAAATGCGCGCTGTAACCTGGAGAGCTGTTCCGGCAGAGTTCAAAACAGGGATGTGTGAGATGAAATCTCGGGGTCTCAGGTTTTGTGGTGTGTTTGGGAATGGGTTCAGGACAGGTTTGCGGAAATGCCCAGTGTAACTTGGAGAGCTGTTCCGGTAAATGAAGCGGTGGAAAGAGATGAAGTCCTAGGTGTTAAGGGATAGGAGAAAATGAAGGTAGAAATTGCTCACAGTGGCTGAAAACCGGGGCCTGAGATTCATGAAAATTAAGCAGTGAGGTGCATGCACAGGCTGAAAACATGAGACTGAGTTTCATGAAAATGCATGAAAATGAAATAGTGAAGTGCTTGCACAGGATGAAAACCAGGGGCCTGAGTTTCATGAGTTCCACTCTGGAATGCCAGAAATGTCAGGCACTGGTTTTCAGTTGTTGCAGTTTGTACCTCAGACACAATTTTTATTGAAGGATTTTAGCCCCCATTTGGGGCTAAAAACCCCGGAGCCTGTCTAAAAAGCTGCACCAACGGGGATATATCATATGTCCACGTGGCTGTTGTACACTGTGCCAGGTGTTATGCACTCCCCATTTCAGGTCTTCTTCTCTCTGCCTCATTTGGACTTGCGATTTGGTGTTTTCTTAGGAAGATGTACTTGAAGAGGGACATCCTGAAGCACAGGCGGGGGAGGGGCAACACTTCAGGTGACATTTGTGACACACCCGGGCATTGGGATGAAAGTTGTCTTATTGCTGTTCCACTGAACAAATGGGTATGTAGTCATAATATGCCATAATCATAAGTTAAGGGTGACCTGCAAAGCGGACAGAGTCTGCAGTTGAAAGCAGCATTCGAAGTCCTGGCTTTTTCTGGTTTTTTCTATACCCAGGCGCTTTCCCAACCTGCAGACCCCTCCATGCCCGAGGACGGGATAAAGTCATTGGCTGAAGCTTCATCATATTCATGCGTATTCATTCGTACAAGTTTCATCCTTTTTCTCATCTTGAGTCGGGAGAGTCTGTGAATTCTCAATGCTTCCAATCGATGTTTCGTATTTTTTCATCCAAAGTTCAAATTTCAAGGAATCCTGGCAAGGCGGTTCTTTGTTTGCAGCAAACAAACCTTGGCAACGGATCTTTGTTGCAGAGCGACTCGTTGAGTGGGAAAAACAGTGGGACCGGATAGGATGGCGTCGAAATCAAGGATTTCCCGCACGGCATTCGCCTGATGGCGCAGCAGGCCATTTTCGAGGGCTTCGATCCACAAATCGAGGTTCTCGAGAACTGGAGCGACTTGAAGGAAGTCTCAGCTCTGGAAGAGGTATCTTGTCAAGCAAACTGCCATAACTCTTCTTCCTTTTGCATCAGCTGAGCCTTGAGACCGTGGTGGGAACTGGAGAAACGATATGCAGTTTCCATATCGTACACGCGTTTTGCCTGTGCCGTACGTATATGCCATGCTAATTACTCTGCCTGCTGCATGGAGTCTTTCTTCATATTTCTACCCAGTATCCAGAAAGAATTCTCTAGGCAGGTGGTCGAAAGCACGTTGAGAGGTGTGTGGGAAGTGTTGCAAGCAAGATCTGGATCACATACTGTTTGCATCCTACAATATGATCGCGCCATGCTCGCTCGTGTCAACAGTGTATGTAATGATATGTCATGTATATTAATAGTGTTTTTTTTAGTGTGTGAAAGTTGTTTCCTCACATCCAAGGGTTCAAAAGTAATCAAGGGTCACATGATATTTAAGGGCTGCCGCCCCTGCCGCCGACCCCGGAAAAGGGACTAAACAGCTTTTGGCTCCTTTTTCCTGGCAGGGAAACACCATGCCTCTGAAGGACGGAGAAGCCCCAAAATTGCACCCCGAAAATGCCTAACGTAACTTCTGAAACCCATAGAAAATGATGATTTTGGCTGCTTTTTCCTCTTGCTGCTGCTGTGAATTTTGGCTACCTTTACAATGGGAAAACACCATGGAAAAAATCACCTGCCGGCAGGGAAACACCATGCCTCTGAAGGACGGAGAAGCTCCAAAATTGCACCCCGAAAATGCCTAACGTAACTTCTGAAACCAATAGAAAATGATGATTTTGGCTGCTTTTCCTCTTGCTGCTGCTATCAATTTTGGCTACCTTTACATCCGGTCCCCAAATGGGAAAACACCATGGAAAAAATCACCTGCCGGCAGGGAAACACCATGCCTCTGAAGGACGGAGAAGCCCCAAAATTTTACCCCGAAAATGCCTAACGTAACTTCTGAAACCCATAGAAAATGATGATTTTGGCTGCTTTTTCCTCTTGCTGCTGCTATGAATTTTGGCTACCTTTTCCTCCTGCTGCTGCAGAGGCTTTTGCTGCTGCTGCTGCTGCTGCTGGTCCTCGGATGTGAAAACACCATGGAAAACAGGGAAACACCATGCCTCTGAAGGACGGAGAAGCCCCAAAATTGAAACCCGAAAATGCCTAACGTAACTTCTGAAACCCATAGAAAATGACGCTTTTGGCTCCTTTTTCCTCTTGCTGCTGCTAGCAATTTTGGCTACCTTTACATCCGGTCCCCAAATGGGAAAACACAATGGAAAAAATCACCTGCCGGCAGGGAAACACCATGCCTCTGAAGGACGGAGAAGCCCCAAAATTGCACCCCGAAAATGCCTAACGTAACTTCTGAAACCCATAGAAAATGATGATTTTGGCTGCTTTTTCCTCTTGCTGCTGCTATGAATTTTGGCTACCTTTTCCTCCTGCTGCTGCAGAGGCTTCTGCTGCTGCTGCTGCTGCTGCTGGTCCCCGGATGGGAAAACACCATGAAAAAAATCACCTCCCGGCAGGGAAACACCGTGCCTCTGAAGGACGGAGAAGCCCCAAAATTGCACCCCGAAAATGCCTAACGTAACTTCTGAAACCCATAGAAAATGATGATTTTGGCTGCTTTTTCCTCTTGCTGCTGCTATGAATTTTGGCTGCCCATCCGGTCCCCAAATGGGAAAACACCAGGGAAACAGCCTGAAGGACGGAGAAGCTCCAAAATTGCACCCCGAAAATGCCTAACGTAACTTCTGAAACCCATAGAAAATGATGATTTTGGCTGCTTTTTCCTCTTGCTGCTGCTGTGAATTTTGGCTACCTTTACATCCGCTCCCCAAATGGGAAAACACAGGGAAACACCATGCCTCTGAAGGACGGAGAAGCCCCAAAATTGCACCCCGAAAATGCCTAACGTAACTTCTGAAACCAATAGAAAATGATGATTTTGGCTGCTTTTTCCTCTTGCTGCTGCTATCAATTTTGGCTACCTTTACATCCGGTCCCCAAATGGGAAAACACAAGGGAAACACCATGCCTCTGAAGGACGGAGAAGCTCCAAAATTGCACCCCGAAAATGCCTAACGTAACTTCTGAAACCCATAGAAAATGATGATTTTGGCTGCTTTTTCCTCTTGCTGCTGCTGTGAATTTTGGCTACCTTTACATCCGCTCCCCAAATGGGAAAACACCATGGAAAAAATCACCTGCCGGCAGGGAAACACCATGCCTCTGAAGGACGGAGAAACCCCAAAATTGCACCCCGAAAATGCCTAACGTAACTTCTGAAACCAATAGAAAATGATGATTTTGGCTGCTTTTTCCTCTTGCTGCTGCTATCAATTTTGGCTACCTTTACATCCGGTCCCCAAATGGGAAAACACCATGGAAAAAATCACAGACTTTTGCTGCTGCTGCTGCTGGCTCCCGGATGGAAAACACCATGGAAAAAATCACCTGCCGGCAGGAAAACACCATGCCTCTGAAGGACGGAGAAGCCCCAAAATTGCACCCCGAAAATGCCTAACGTAACTTCTGAAACCCATAATAGTAGTAGTATAGCTGTAGCTGCTGCTATGCATTTTGGCTACCTTTTCCTCCTGCTGCTGCACAGGCTTTTGCTGCTGCTGCTGCTGGCTCCCGGATGGAAAACACCATGAAAAAAATCATCTGCCGGCAGGAAAACACCATGCCTCTGAAGTAGTATAGCTGTAGCTGCTGCTATGCATTTTGGCTACCTTTTCCTCCTGCTGCTGCACAGACTTTTGCTGCTGCTGCTGCTGGCTCCCGGATGGCAGCAAAACACCATGCCTCTGAAGGACGGAGAAGCTCCAAAATTGCACCCCGAAAATGCCGAACGTAACTTCTGAAACCCATAATAGTACTAGTATCAGACTTTTGCTGCTGCTGCTGCTGGCTCCCGGATGGAAAATACCATGGAAAAGCTCCTGCACAGACTTTTGCTGCTGCTGCTGCTGGCTTCCGGATGGAAAACACCATGGAAAAAATCACCTGCCGGCAGGAAAACACCATGCCTCTGAAGGACGGAGAAGCCCCAAAATTGCACCCTGAAAATGCCTAACGTAACTTCTGAAACCCATAATAGTAGTAGTCTAGCTGTAGCTGCTGCTATGCATTTTGGGCTGCTGCACAGACTTTTGCTGCTGATGCTGCTGGCTCCCGGATGGAAAACACCATGGAAGAAATCACCTGCCGACAGGAAAACACCGTGCCTCGGAAGGACGGAGAAGCCCCAAAATTGCACCCCGAAAATGCCTAACGTAATTTCTGAAACCCGCAATAGTACTAGTATAGCTGTAGCTGCTGCTATGCATTTTGGCTACCTTTTCCTCCTGCTGCTATGCATTTTGGCTACCTTTTCCTCCTGCTGCTGCACAGACTTTTGCTGCTGCTGCTGCTGGCTCCCGGATGGAAAACACCATGGAAAAAATCACCTGCCGGCAGGAAAACACCATGCCTCTGAAGGACGGAGAAGCTCCAAAATTGCACCCCGAAAATGCCTAACGTAACTTCTGAAACCCATAATATAGTACTAGTATCAGACTTTTGCTGCTGCTGCTGCTGGCTCCCGGATGGAAAACACGGCAGGAAAACACCGTGCCTCTGAAGAACGGAGAAGCCCCAAAATTGCACCCCGAAAATGCCTAACGTAACTTCTGAAACCCATAATAGTAGTAGTATAGCTGTAGCTGCTGCACAGACTTTTGCTGCTGCTGTTGCTGGCTCCCGGATGGAAAACACCTTGGAAAAAATCACCTGCCGGCAGGAAAACACCATGCCTCTGAAGGACGGAGAAGCCCCAAAATTGCACCCCGAAAATGCCTAACGTCTGAAACCCATAATAGTAGTAGTATAGCTGTAGCTGCTGCTATGTATGCATTTTGGCTACCTTTTCCTCCTGCTGCTGCACAGACTTTTGCTGCTACTGCTGCTGGCTCCCGGATGGAAAACACCATGAAAAAAATCACCTGCCGGCAGGAAAACACCATGCCTCTGAAGGACGGAGAAGCCCCAAAATTGCACCCCGAAAATGCCTAACGTAACTTCTGAAACCCATAATAGTAGTAGTATAGCTGTAGCTGCTGATGTATGCATTTTGGCTACCTTTTCCTCCTGCTGCTGCACAGACTTTTGCTGCTGCTGCTGCTGGCTCCCGGATGGCAGCAAAACACCATGCCTCTGAAGGACGGAGAAGCTCCAAAATTGCACCCCGAAAATGCCTAACGTAACTTCTGAAACCCATAATAGTACTAGTATCAGACTTTTGCTGCTGCTGCTGCTGGCTCCCGGATGGAAAACACCATGGAAAAGCTCCTGCACAGACTTTTGCTGCTGCTGCTGCTGGCTTCCGGATGGAAAACACCATGGAAAAAATCACCTGCCGGCAGGAAAACACCATGCCTCTGAAGGACGGAGAAGCCCCAAAATTGCACCCTGAAAATACCTAACGTAACTTCTGAAACCCATAATAGTAGTAGTATAGCTGTAGCTGCTGCTATGCATTTTGGCTACCTTTTCCTCCTGCTGCTGCACAGACTTTTGCTGCTGATGCTGCTGGCTCCCGGATGGAAAACACCATGGAAAAAATCACCTGCCGGCAGGAAAACACCGTGCCTCGGAAGGACGGAGAAGCCCCAAAATTGCACCCCGAAAATGCCTAACGTAACTTCTGAAACCCATAATAGTACTAGTATAGCTGTAGCTGCTGCTATGCATTTTGGCTACCTTTTCCTCCTGCTGCTATGCATTTTGGCTACCTTTTCCTCCTGCTGCTGCACAGACTTTTGCTGCTGCTGCTGCTGGCTCCCGGATGGAAAACACCATGGAAAAAATCACCTGCCGGCAGGAAAACACCATGCCTCTGAAGGACGGAGAAGCTCCAAAATTGCACCCCGAAAATGCCTAACGTAACTTCTGAAACCCATAATATAGTACTAGCATCAGACACGTAACTTCTGAAACCCATAATAGTAGTAGTATAGCTGTAGCTGCTGCTATGTATGCATTTTGGCTACCTTTTCCTCCTGCTGCTGCACAGACTTTTGCTGCTGCTGCTGCTGCTGGCTCCCGGATGGAAAACACCATGAAAAAAATCACCTGCCGGCAGGAAAACACCATGCCTCTGAAGGACGGAGAAGCCCCAAAATTGCACCCCGAAAATGCCTAACGTAACTTCTGAAACCCATAGAAAGTGATGATTTTGGCTGCTTTTTCCTCTTGCTGCTGCTATGAATTTTGGCTACCTTTTCCTCCTGCTGCGGCAGAGGCTTCTGCTGCTGCTGCTGCTGCTGGTCCCCGGATGGGAAAACACCATGGAAAAAATCATCTCCCGGCAGGGAAACACTATGAATTTTGGCTACCTTTACATCCGGTCCCCAAATGGGAAAACACCAGGGAAACACCATGCCTCTGAAGGACGGAGAAACTCCAAAATTGCACCCGAAAATGCCTAACGTAACTTCTGAAACCCATAGAAAATTTGCACCCCGAAAATGCCTAACGTAACTTCTGAAACCCATAATAGTAGTAGTATAGCTGTAGCTGCTGCTATGTGTGCATTTTGGCTACCTTTTCCTCCTGCTGCTGCACAGACTTTTGCTGCTGCTGCTGCTGGCTCCCGGATGGCAGCAAAACACCATGCCTCTGAAGGACGGAGAAGCTCCAAAATTGCACCCCGAAAATGCCTAACGTAACTTCTGAAACCCATAATAGTACTAGTATCAGACTTTTGCTGCTGCTGCTGCTGGCTCCCGGATGGAAAACACCATGGAAAAGCTCCTGCACAGACTTTTGCTGCTGCTGCTGCTGGCTTCCGGATGGAAAACACCATGGAAAAAATCACCTGCCGGCAGGAAAACACCATGCCTCTGAAGGACGGAGAAGCCCCAAAATTGCACCCTGAAAATGCCTAACGTAACTTCTGAAACCCATAATAGTAGTAGTATAGCTGTAGCTGCTGCTATGCATTTTGGCTACCTTTTCCTCCTGCTGCTGCACAGACTTTTGCTGCTGATGCTGCTGGCTCCCGGATGGAAAACACCATGGAAAAAATCACCTGCCGGCAGGAAAACACCGTGCCTCGGAAGGACGGAGAAGCCCCAAAATTGCACCCCGAAAATGCCTAGCGTAACTTCTGAAACCCATAATAGTACTAGTATAGCTGTAGCTGCTGCTATGCATTTTGGCTACCTTTTCCTCCTGCTGCTATGCATTTTGGCTACCTTTTCCTCCTGCTGCTGCACAGACTTTTGCTGCTGCTGCTGCTGCTGGCTCCCGGATGGAAAACACCATGGAAAAAATCACCTGCCGGCAGGAAAACACCATGCCTCTGAAGGACGGAGAAGCTCCAAAATTGCACCACGAAAATGCCTAACGTAACTTCTGAAACCCATAATATAGTACTAGTATCAGACACGTAACTTCTGAAACCCATAATAGTAGTAGTATAGCTGTAGCTGCTGCTATGTATGCATTTTGGCTACCTTTTCCTCCTGCTGCTGCACAGACTTTTGCTGCTGCTGCTGGCTCCCGGATGGAAAACACCATGAAAAAAATCACCTGCCGGCAGGAAAACACCATGCCTCTGAAGGACGGAGAAGCCCCAAAATTGCACCCCGAAAATGCCTAACGTAACTTCTGAAACCCATAGAAAATGAATTTTGGCTACCTTTTCCTCCTGCTGCTGCAGACGCTTTTGCTGCTACTGGTGCCTGTTGGACTTACTGCTGCTGCCTGCTGCTGCCTGCTGCTGCCTGCTGCTGGTGCTGCTGCTGGTGGCTGCTGCTGCTGCTGCTGTGGTGCTGCTGTGGTGCTGCTGTGGTGCTGCTGTTGTGCTACGGCACCTCCCGGCACCAAAACAGCAAGGCACGGAAGGACGAACAGGCCACAGAATCGCAGCGAAAAAGTGCCTAACGTGACTTCTGAAACCCTACTAGAACTGAAGACTGCTGCTGATGACAGAAGAGTACCAAAAGCACCTCCCGGCACCAAAACAGCAAGGCACGGAAGGACGAACAGGCCACAGAATCGCAGCGAAAAAGTGCCTAACATGACTTCTGAAACCCTACTAGAACTGAAGACTTGAGGGAACTGATGAAGGATACTAGACGGCTGCTAACTCTACGGGAACTGAAGACCTGAGGGAATTGATGAGAGATACTAGACGGCTGCTGCCGTTGCTGCTGCTGCTGCTGCTGCTGCTGACAAAAAAGTACCAAAAGACGGCTGCTGCCTTTGCTGCTGCTGCTGCTGCTGCTGCTGCTGATGACAGAAGAGTACCAAAAGCACCTCCCGGCACCAAAGCAGCAAGGCCCGGAAGGACGAACAGGCCACAGAATCGCACCGAAAAAGTGCCTAACGTGACTTCTGAAACCCTACTAGAACTGAAGACTTGAGGGAACTGATGAAGGATACTAGACGGCTGCTAACTCTACTAGAACTGAAGACCTGAGGGAACTGATGAGAGATACTAGACGGCTGCTGCCGTTGCTGCTGCTGCTGCTGCTGCTGCTGCTGACAGAAGAGTACCAAAAGCACCTCCCCGCACCAAAACAGTAAGGCACGGAAGGACGAACAGGCCCCAGAATCGCACCGAAAAAGTGCCTAATGTGACTTCTGGAACCCTTACTAGACCTGAAGACCTGTGGGAACTTATGAGAGATCCTAGACGGCTGCTGCCGTTGCTGCTGCTGCTGCTGCAAAAGATGATTTAGCTGCTTTTTCCACCTGCTGCTGCTGCTGCTCCTGCTACTCTTCTGAAACTTATAGAAAAAATGATTGTAGCTGCTGCTGCTGCTCCTGCTCCTGCTACTCCAGTGGCAGGCTGCGACGCGAAAAATCGAACCACTCCCACCAGCAAATCGGCCTCGAACGAACAAATCAGGGCGGGAAGGGCAACCCAAGGAGCCCCACGTACCTCGAGGAGACTCCGGGAAGGACCCCCCACCGGTAAAACAAAAACCCCGGAGTCAATGAATCGACGTACGTGACCGGTGGGAGGGGGACCCAACAGGGTCCCCCGGCAAAGGGTCATTGTTGTTGTTGTTGTTGTTGTTCTTGTTCTTGTTGCTTGTTGCTGTTGCTGTTGCTGTTGCTCTTGCTGTTGCTGCCATAAAATAAAATTAAAATAGAATCCTGCTGCCTGCTGCCTGCTGCTGCCTGCTGCTGCCTGCTGCTCCTGCCTGCTGCTGGCTGCTGCCTGCTCCTGCCTGCTGCTGGCTGTTGCTGGCTGCTGCTGGCTGCTGCTGGCTGCTGCTGGCTGCCTAACGCCGGCTGCTGCTGGTTGCTGCTGGTTGCTGCTGCTGGCTGGTGCGGGCTGCTGCTGGCTGCTGCTGGCTGCTACCTGCTGCCTGCTGCCTGCTGCTGCCTGCTGCTGCCTGGTAGTAAAAGTAGCAGTGCCGGGGTCAGCGAATTATTATTATTCTTTCCTGGCAGCTGTGTCATAAACTCTTTTTCCCTTACGCACTCCCCCTTGCGTCTGCCGGGGTCGGCGGATACTAGTGGCGCTGATCTGTTCAATTAACATTGAGCCATTTCGAAAAAACCGTGAGTCAAAGAAGCTGAACTTGGCACTTGGCTTGAGAGTTACTTCCAATAGCGCTACTCTTAAATTTACTAGGGAAGAACCGCCATCCGGATTACTTACATTACGGATGCCAGAGCCCACAGTGGATCCCACAAACTATTGAAATCAGAGTAGGCCCATGATTTTGCGACAGAACATACCTGAGTTCTACCAGGTTAGATTTGCGATGGATCCTACTTTGTCCAAATACTTTTTGCGATGGATCCTACTTTGTCCAACATTAGTTTGCGATGGGACCTACCCAAATCCATCTCAACATGATGCCAAATCTAACTATGGCCATTGTATGTGCTAGCAAGGTTTAACATGATTTGTCTCAAAACTCTAGGGTTTTGAGTGTTAGGCAACAGTTTGGTTTAGAGATGGATTTGGGTAGGCCCCATCTCAAACACAGCCTGCCAGTATTAGGGGTATTGGTAGTGGACATGTGTCTGAAAAGGCTTGCCAGTCCAAAGCAATGCTTAGAGATAAGTCTCACCCAAATCCATCTCTAAGTTGAATTTCAAAAAAGCATCTCTACCACATCCATTTGAGACAGATGGCACAAAATCCCCCAAATTGTTTGAGACAAGTCCTTGGTTTCCAATCAGTCTCACCTGAAGCGTTTTGAGATGGATTTGGGTAGGTCCCATCGCAAACTAATGTTGGACAAAGTAGGATCCATCGCAAAAAGTATTTGGACAAAGTAGGATCCATCGCAAATCTAACCTGGTAGAACTCAGGTATGTTCTGTCGCAAAATCATGGGCCTACTCTGATTTCAATAGTTTGTGGGATCCACTGTGGGCTCTGGCATCCGTAATGTAAGTAATCCGGATGACGGTTCTTCTCGAGTAAATTTAAGAGTAGCGCTATTGGAAGTAACTCTCAAGCCAGGTGCCAAGTTCAGCTTCTTTGACTCACGGTTTTTTACGAAATGGCTCAATGTTAATTGAACAGATCAGCGCCACTAGTACAACATGTGACCCTTGATTACTTTTGAACCCTTGGATGTGAGGAAAAAACGTTTGTGTATAATTAAACCTAATGTATACATCACACAACACGCAATGATCCACACATCTGTCCGGAGCCTGCATTCTTTCACAATAATTTTTCAGGCGCTGCCTCCCGGCCACGTGCCCCTGGCTCGACTCCTCCGGCTCACTCCGGAAGATCGAACCTTCCCTGCGCCAGTGAAGGCTGGGAGAGTTGGACATGAGTGTGACATGTTGTCCCGACCGCCTGATCTTTTTGGGTCGAAAAAAAGAAGTGATCCACGGAGATGTCCAAGGTTAGGACCCGTGACAGATATCAAAATACCATGACGACTCCTTACCTGCAGCTGTTTTCGTCTTTTCTGACTGGATCTGACTGGGGGTTCTGGTAATTGTCTGTGCTAAAAGAGCAGCCCAACATTGCTGGTAAACATTCTTGGAGCAACTGAGATGTAAACTGCCCTTGCCACCATGATACTGCAGTGAAAAATGCTCGCGGATGGTCTAATCCGATGTCCTCGTTCCCTTTAGAGAATCGGTTAGACTTTTGGAACATGATCAATAGATCCAGGCAAGAGCCTTGATGATTTGTTTGGCGAAATTGACGACATTTGTTGACTTTTCAGTCAGGTCCAGGTGCCAACCTGTGCTGGCGCAGACACTGGCTGGAGATCCACGTCAGCTGGCTGGGAGAAGCTCGACACAGTCACTTTCGCTGACGGTCGAGCAATGGTGGCGCTGGACCACTTTTGTGACCTAGTTATCACCGGCGAGCGGGTTCCTCTGAAATGCCTCGGGTTCCTCCATCCACAGGGTGAGCACGCAGAAATTGTGGTCATGCACGTTGGTTGCAAGTCCTGCCAAACGGGTTTGGAGTTGCTTTGCTCCGATGAAGATGTCTTGCAACCCCTGCGCGCGTGCTGGCCCAGTCTGCAACTGGGAATGTTTCGCCGTGCGACGAGTTGGAAATCCATCAGGCTGGCCAGACATCGAAACTCAAGCTGCGGTTTGATAAAATGCCACTGGTGCGCAGACTCTATGCCGAGTCGGGGCTACAGTTTGATGTGGAGATCAACGGAGAGAACCACTCCTTCGAAGCTGCTGAGATTGTTCCGGGTCCAGCAAGGAGATTCCTTGGAGGGTCCTTCTTGGAGAGATGGTGGTAATGCCTGCGGTCGAAATTTTCCAGGTGTATTAAGTCAAAACATCGGATGTCCCTCATTTCTAGTATCTTCATTTTTCACGTATTTTTTTGGGGTTAACCAGGTTTGATCGATGCCCAGTGCGGTGATGCCAATTCTGCAACTTTTGGATCTGACCTGTTGTTCCAAGGCTTGTGACGCCAAACCTGTTGTCAAACTGGGAGATTGGATGGTGCAGATTTCTTTTTGGCAGTGCTGTTTTTTTTTTTGCAATGCATTGAACATTATTTTATGTTATCAAACATTCTGGATTCCGGATACCATGGGAGTTGAACGATAAACAAACATGAGAAAACATTACCCATCAAAAGTATTTGGACGTTTGTATTAGTTGACCACCAAACATGATCAAACATGAGGATTAAACCATCAAACATGGGGATCTATGTTACTGTAGAACTACATTAACTACATTTTCACCGCCGCATCTATCCAACCAATTAACAATTCCTTTCTTGTTGTTGTTTGTTGTTATATGTGCGATGGTCAAGACATGGAATGTTTTCCCATAAAGGGGAATGGTCATCCCGTCATTGATAGGGAACTGTATACCCGTTGCTCTCACCCTACTTGTTATACTTGTTTGCTTCGCAGAGGATTGGTGCTCCAAGAATTTTTCCACACTGTCCCGTTAGTTGATTCTGGCACATCAGATTTTCTTGCCTGAACTATACCTGGTGCATCCCCCATGTTCCTTGCCCTAAGCACCACAGTCGTGTCGGAGCCATGAAAAAACACCGAGGTCTTTGTGGCTCTGCTGAGTGGCAGAAGCTGCCGTTGCACCTGGGCGTTGTGGGTAGATGATCCGAGGAATACCTGCTGGCCGTCAGTGGAAATAAAACGTCATAGATGATACACCATGGTGAAGTGCCTATTGATTCGACCTGTTGACCGTCAACATAGTATAGCGTGGTATAGCCAGCAAAATGTTGAAACAAAATGAATAAATGGTTTTCAAGGCCCTTGGATTGCCCGGACAAGGGATTCACGTTTTCATCCCACCCCATGACATGTTTCGTGTTGAGGCACCACGTTGACGGAGTCCACACTGTTGTGCATCCATGTTGCGCATACATTTCCTTGTTCCCCACCCATCCACATTTGGATTGTTTAAAAACGCCTCCATCAGCCTGGTTTTAAATGTTACCTTTTGCTCATGTTTTCACACAGGGAACCCCATACTTGGGGAACCTCCCAAGTTACATTTTTGTGACCGGCTCATCGAAAGAAATTGCATCTTCAAAGAACATCAATACATTTAGGAAGTAATGTAAGCTGACATTGTGGACGCCCCTCCAAAATTCAAGGGGACCACCGTAAGTTACATATTGGAAGGCACCAATTTTCCAGGTTTCGGGAAAATGCACACCGACCCACAATATAAACTGAAACTCAGCGAGGCCGCTCCCCTTTCAAGCTGGTGGGGATCTTCTTGACGCACTCGGTGCATTCGTGGTAGTAGCAAAACGATGAAGAATCACAACATGTTTTCAAACGAATTGGACGTGGAGCTTCATCCCACCCCATGACATGTTTCGTGTTGAGGCACCACATGGACGGAGTCAGCAGTCCACTCACTTGTGCATCTGAAGATTGGATCAAACCCAGCCGAACTGAGGCAACTTGTCACCGAAGCGAACTGTGTTGGAGTTGAAAGAAGAAGCCGAGCGCCTCGGCACAGAGATGAACTCCGAGATGACTGGGAGCCACAGGGGAACAGCTCAATTGACGTCTACAAAACCTGACAGACGCGGCAGCAGATGGCAACAGCAGTTTGTTTCTGACACGACAGTTGTGCAGGTTGGGTGCAGGTTGCAGGTTTTAGGGATCATAATTTGAGAGGAGCATTTTGAATGGAGTATTTTTTCAGACCCTCTTCAAATCACAATCTTGAAACGAAACTTAGACCTCCAAATCATGGAAGACCTCATGCAAAGTAGCAAGCGCCACTACAGTTGGCACACGCTTGGTACTTGTCTTTTCCACAAGTAATGAATCATCTCATCCAGATTCCGAGATGGATCAGTGGACCCTTCATGACCGTAATACCAGTGATACCCCAATAAGTCAAGATCTGAAATTGTGCCTCTTTTTATCTTTTCACGGTTCGTTTCCGTATGATGCGCTCAGAGCTAAATTGGTAACTTGGTTCCAGGCAGACACCTGTGACGTGCATCGCTTCCCTGATGCTGGTTGCAAGTCTTTGTCACAGAAGGGGCATTTCAGGGTTCATCTGACTGCAGCCTGTTGATGCCTGCTGCACACCCTGTCCAGTGGATCCGAGGAAAAAGCTCGGCGTCAAGATTAAACACATCATTGGACAAAACCACGAGCCATTGCTACTTGGCTGCACAGAACTTTTTGACCCTTCTGCCCAGCTGATGGAAATTGTATAATCCTGTCTTACGTGGGAAACAATCTTGTTGGGTATTGGTGGTAGGCCTCTTCATATCATTGGCTTGTTTTTACATTGCCGGTGTCTATAGTTGATTGGCCTGATATTTTCAGGAAAACTCTTGCGAGTTTGAATGAAAAAACCCTGCACGAAGACGTTTTTTGTTGCCTACTTTGCTGCTGGGTGTAAAGCTGGGTTAATATTCCATGCCACCAGTAACTTCTGTGACATCAGTTGCTGAATTGGATCAGTTTATAGCGGTCTGTGCCCAGGGATGAAAGCATGGAGCTTGCTGCAGCGCACATTTCGGGCAATACATTGACCGCCGTGATTTCAGTGCCTTGGCAACAGCAGCTGCAACATGACTTGCGACCGAGTGCTTGAGACAGTAGAAGCAGTAGCAAGCCAAAAAAGACCAGGGCAGACGGGCAGAATGCCTTTTGCCAGGCAATGTGGATGAGTGTTCACATCCACCATGAAGCCAACTTCAGCACGATGTCACCGATGTCATTTGTCCCACTGCTATTTTTGTAAAAAATTCTGTGTCAGTATTCTCCACTCCCCATGTCAAGTCTTCTTCTCTCTATCTCATTTGGACTTGGCGTCTTTCTTAGGAAGATGCTATTGAAGAGGCACATCCTGAAGCACAGGCCGCCTGGGGGGCAGAGGTGCTACTTGGGGGTGCAGTTCCACTGAACACCTGGGTATATTATTGTTTATTATGGGATACCATGGCATATAATATTGATGACTATTAATTGATGTAACAATATTGATGTAATGCGGATATTGATGATTATGGTATATTTATACGGAGTATATTGATGTATACTGCCATAATGCCATAAGGGTCACCCCCAAGCAGACAGGGTCCGCAGCTGGAAGCGTCATTCGAAGTCCTGGTTCTGTCTCGACCCAAGGCGCATTCTGCTGCAGACCCCATGCCTGAGGACGGGATGAAGCCCTTGGCAGCTTCACATCTTGATTCGAATTATTTCGTTTTCACGAATTTTCATTCATCATTTTTCATTTGTTTCATAATGTTTCATGCATCAATGTCCGCATTTTCAGTCGGAGAGTCTGGATTAAAGAGCTCTCAAGATTCCAATCGCTCAATGTTTTTCGTATTTCTTCATCCTAAGTTACAAAAGTCTCAAGAATTCCTGGCAAGGCGGCTCTTTGTTTGCAGCAAACAACAAACCTTGCGGATCGTTGTTGCAGAGCGACTTCTTGAGGGGGAAAAACAGATGGGATCGGATAGGACAGCTTCGAAATCAAGGACTTCGGGCACGGCATTCGCCTGATGGCGGAGCAGTCCATTTTCGAGGGCGATCCACAAATCGAGGTTCTCGAGAACTGGAGCGACTTGAAGAACGCCTCAGTCCTGGAGCAGGTATCTTGTCTAGCAAACTACCAACAATCATCTTCCTTTGCATCTGAGCCTTGAGACCGGTGGACAGGTACATTCCCTAGGCAGGTGGCGGGAAGCACATTGAGAGGTGGGAAGTCTTGCAAGGTAAGATCTGGATCACTTCACTTCTGCTTGCAACTCATGATCGTGTCACGCACGTGTGTGTATAATCAAGACATATAATATCATATAATATAATCCACACATTTGTTTGCATTCTTTCACACTTGAAACCAGCTCAGGCGCTGCCTGCCGGCCACGTGCCCCTGGCTCGACTCCTCCGGCTCACTCCGGAAGATCGAACCTTCCCTGCACCCGTGAAGGCTGGGAGAGTTGGACATGGAAAACTGTGATCTACGGAGATAGGTTAGAACCCGTGGCGGTGATCAAAATACATCAAAATACCATCTTTGACTCAACTGCAGTTCTTTTCTTCGTCTTTCTGACTGGGGCTTCTGGTGTTGGGTGTGAAGCCTGCTATGGGAGAGCAAACCGTCATCGTTCTTGAACGTTCGTAGAGATGCCAGACATAAATCTTGCTGTGACTATTGTTAGTGGAAAATTAATGCATGCCTGGCCCAACCTGGTGCCCGGCTGAGAATCGGGAATCGGTTTGTGTTGGGGCACATAGCCATAGAATGCCATACATGACGATAAAAGGGTCAGAAACCCGTCAGGTCCAGGTGCCAACCTGTGCTGGCGCAAGCACTTTGTGGAGATCCACGTCAGCTGGCTGGGAGAATCTCGACACAGTCACTTTCGCTGACGGTCGAGCAACGGTGGCGCTGGACCACTTTTGTGACCTAGTTATCACCGGCGAGCGGGTTCCTCTGAAATGCCTCGGGTTCCTCCATCCACAGGGTGAGCACGCAGAAATTGTGGTCATGCACGTGGGCTGCAATTTCTGCCAAAGGGGGTTGGAGCTGCTTTGCTCCGACGACGATGCCTTGAAACGCCTCTGCAGATGCGGCCCCAGCCTTCAAATCGGAACGTACCGACACGACGAAGATTTAGACATATATCAGGCTGGGCAAAAATCAACAATGAAGATCCTCTTTGACCGGCTGCCTTTGCCGTGCAGAGTGTATGCCCAGTCCGGGCTACAGTTTGATGTGGAGATTCGAGGACAGAATCACCACTTTGAATTTGAAGTGCCAATTCGATCAGCAACTCCTGCACCACAGCTTGCTCCATCTCCGCATCCTTCATCCTCAGCTGGATCTGCATCACAGGCGGGGCAATGGCGGGGCGTTGTGTTTTTTTCTTCGAACCATACTTGCTACATCTGCGCTCATTGCTTATTCGGATGATTGGAATATGACTACAATATCAATTGACAATTAATAATTTCATACGTTTTCCAGTAGATCTGTAGAACCTGTAAATCGAGGTGATCGGACACTTCTGAAAATTGATGTTGGAACCTCCAGACCCATCTCAACAACTCCGAACACGCCGCAGCCTCGCAGGCGCCCGCAGTTGCAGGTGCTGTCGGATCTTCCGGGGTGCCGAACCCAACGGTGACTCGGAGATTCCTTGGAGGGTCCTTCTTGGAGAGATGGTGGTAATGTCATGTACGGTGGAAATGAAAGGTGTATGAGACCACAGGTGTTCTTTATTATACATTCTTATACTTTGAGTATTTTGAACCATATCTAGTGACCACACAGGTAGGATATCTTTGTGTGGACGTATTATGATTCATGTATTAATATAAGTCAAAACATCGGATGTTCTTCATTTTGTTTTTTTGGGTAACTTGATCGGTGCCCATATAGTGGGCACTGTGGTGATGCCAATTCTGCAACTCTTAGATTTGACCTGTTGTTCCAAGGCTTGTGACCCCAAACCTGTTGTCAAACTGGGAGATTAGATGGTGCTGATTTTTTTTTGGCAATGCATTGAACATCATTTTGTGGGGATGCAGTGAAAGTCGTGTACCTTGTGCATTATCCGACATGAAGGGCTGCAACTTTGTTTTGGATGATTGAATTGGTGGATAGAGTCCCTGCAATCCCTGGTTACGCCGGGGTTCCCCATGGCGAAGTTTGTAAAAACTCCATCAATACATGCTTGTTCCTGGTTGGGGATATTCTCCAAGTCAAGTCCATTCAGCGGATCCTTCAACATCCACTCGAAATGGTGCAACCTTCAGATCCATCCATCTCCAGATCCATCTCGCTGTGCAAGATGTGCGCCGTGCTGCCAGGCATCAGCTGCCTCGACTGACATGCGATCGGTGGGGAACTCAGGATCTTGGGGATGGATCAAAACTAATTGTCATATGTTGGGGGTATGAAAATCAATCGAGACCAGCTAGTTTGGTGCGAACTGACCCATAACATCCCATAACCACATTGTCCCTCGAAAACCATTTCCGTCTTCAAACAAGGACTGCCTTGTTTCGGATCGCTCCATTAATTCAGGATTTTGGGTACTTGAGGGCATTGTACTTGTCTTTACCCACATTTACCCACCATTCGAAACCTCAGTGTGTTTCTGGCTGACGCTTTGCTGCACTGCCAGTTCTTAGGCGGCGTCACAGCAAGGACACTTGTTGTTGAGCGGGCGCTTCAACAGTAATGAGACGCTTGCCTCAAAAACACAATTTTGATGTGATTCAATGTGTGGTTTTGGGGATCGAATTTGCTTTGAACAGGTGCGACATAGTCAAGCTGTCTAACGCTTCGTGGGTTGATGACTGAGGATTATTGAGTACATGAAGGCAGTGAAAGAGCAGCTGGAAGCTCGAAATGTACCTGTTTTCATGGTTGAAGCAACCGTCGGCCAAAGTTTTGCTGACCTGACGCGGATAGGATTGTGCCGTGCCAAAGGCATGGTAACATTTTGCACGGCGGAATATGGGGCATACACTGGTGTAGGATATGAAACTTTCCATGAGCTTGAATTTGCTCATGACCACCGGTTGCCCTTGTTTCCGATTAGGCTCTGCGAACAGTGGCCACCCGCGCCGCAGAACAACGAACGAGGCATCTATCAGAATCAATTCGTGTTCAAAAATGGCCTGGTGTACGTAGATGATCGGCAGATGACTCAGGCCCAACGCGTTGCTGACCAGATTGCTGAATCTGTCGCACGAATGGGCATCTTCCGGAACCTTCGATTTGAGCTGCAGCTTTAAAGATTGCGGGAGCATGCCTTGGGAAATCAATGCGGAGTGTTGGTGCATGTCCTGGCTGGAATGTTATCAATGTCTTTGGTAGGCAGCTGTACAGTAAGAACACCCGAAAGTACCCAGGTGCCTTCAGGTAAACCAATATGGCAGGCCCGCAAGATGCAAATTCTTGATTCTTGAGGAACAAATCATTCATAAAACCAGAAACAAAGGATTTCCATTCATTCTATTGCTATTGTTTGATATTGTTTGCTCGTTGGGTGATGGAAAGTGAAGTCATACACGATCAGTGGAAGTTGTCCTCCGCTCAGCCAACGCCTTGTCAAGGAATTTGTCAAGGCTTTGCAGCTTTGGACCGATGCTCCTTTTGTCACTATGTCACTATCAACATTTCAATGGATGACACTGACACTGAACACACCTTTCATGTCGACCTTCGTGTGGCTGATACATTCCCATGGCGCGGTTTGCAGCTCCAGTCGCAAAGCATTTCGGAAGAAAACAGTTCTGCATCCGACATTGCTTCATGGTGAGGCATCACAGTGAGAGAATAAGCACATTTTCAGAGTGCCTGCAATAGGTTTTCACCAGTGACACATCATGGGCAATTGAAACTTAAAACCCATGATAGATAGCCAATTCGAGGGGTGCCCATCCATTGATCCCAATGATTTTCATGATTTTGTTGATCATCATGGTACTTTTTCGCAACATATAGCAACGCATAGCTAGCCGATCTCTGAGATGTCCAGGGCCTCCGGGTGAACGCAGTGAACGCCTCAGCCGGATCTCCAGCGGATTTATCTCCGGTAGCGAACAGATTTGGTGAGTTCAACATAATTTCTACACATTTCTAGAATTTTTGCTGGTTCAATAGTGAGATATTATGGTGAAATATAGTTTTCATGTTTTATCTTCGCTGTTGGGTGTGAGATTTCATGATAGCTGGTAGCTGTTAGAATGTCTTAAGCAACTTGTTTTGGCTTGAATCTAAAACCGAACATGCTGGCCGCATCCCTTCAGGCGGATAACCGAACACGCATCAGATCTCCTTAAAGGACTCGAGTTTGGACACAGCTCGGGGAGGAAACGGTGTCATCCCCCGAGAAATTCAGCCATTGGTTTGGGCCTATCCCAGCAGCTTTGAACATACACGAAGCACCTCTGTGGAGACCCGTGAAACTCGAGGTGATTCAGGTGTAGCCACTGGCCCTCCCGGCTAGTTAACAGCCAAAGTAGAGACGATTGAAACATTGGTTTGAGGTGATTGAAACCCTTCCTATGTGACCATTTTGTTCGCTAGATTTTCTTTTAATCCTTATGATGATACCTATCGACAATATCATTTCATATCATTTCTAGCTTCAAAACATTGCTATATTAGTTGATACTATTTAGATCTATTTAGCTCTTTGTATTAATTGATATCACAGTCTTTTAGACATTATGAATTATTGTTTGTTGATCATATCCATCTTCCCCATCTTTCAAGATCCATATTTTTCCATCGATTTTCTCGTTTCCAGGAACGGCATGGCCTCCAGCTCGGCCTACCCCCAGGCCACGGGGCCACGGCCGGCCACGGCGATGTCGGAGATTGGGGCAAATTGGGCATGTAGAAAGCACGGAGGAGACCCGGTGAACGCCGGTGATGTAAAGCACCGGTGATACATCTGTATAGCATAAATACATGTTGTACATCATTAAGCATTAATCATTTAAATAGATGTATAACATGATATATAATGATTAATGATGTACAAGATGTATAACATCTGTGTAGCACATTATTTCCGTGGTGTATAAAATCCAACATGGACGCTCAGCATGATATTGGATCTGTGGCATTCGGTCAGCAGATGAAAACTTACCCCGCTCAACCTTTTCTTGGAACCAAGACCCACCACTTTTCGCCACACTGTGGAGATTTAGACCCAGATCAACTTTTTCATCCAGAACGCATCAGCAACACAGTGGTTGTTGGCAAACTGGCCACGGTCTTTTTGGGCACAGAAAATTGTGTTTTCATCGCCCACTATTTGGATATAGAAAATCGATCCCGGCATTTCTCGCCGTTGTTGAGTTGCAAATCATGTGCCACCTTGCTGCACAAACTTTGGACGCCTTTGCTAGGCCGAAGCTGTTGTGCCAACAGACCCTGAGGTGCCAATTGTTTGGAGTGTGGAGATTGGGACGGATTGGACGGGAATTTTCAGGCACAAAGCGTAACAAACAGGAACAACAAAATCATTCAACCCTCATGGAGTACTGTATTTCTATTTTTCAATTTTAGCAATTTTTTGATATCCTAACATATATCCAAACCATATTTGAGGCAAATGCTTCTTCAATTTTTGGCAGAAATAGACCTTTCTTAGGTCCACCACCACGCGAAAGGAAATGATAGGGCATCATGCGATGCGTTTGTTTTTCATCGCCTACTGGGTACAGAGGTGCCATCGCTGAGATTGGGACGGATTGGGTTGAATATTTCCATCAATTTTTGGCGCGGAAATGTGGTGCCTCGACTTTCAGATTCTGTTGATGTTGTCGACAACCGTCCTCGTTGGTAAACTGCCATGGTCCAACTGATTGATTCAGTTAGCCGGATCTGTTTGAAATTTCGGGTTTGGGGCGATGCTTTGTTCAAACAACTCTGGACATGGTATCTTAGAACTTTGCAAAACAATTCTCTGCGAAACAGTTGGCATTCTTGCCCGTCGAGGCAGACAAAGCAGCAGCGAAAAGCTGTCAAGACCTGAGAATTTTGAATTCGCTCAGCGGGCTACAGGTAGCTTTCCGTTGAGTTAAATTTGTTAAGTTTACAGTATTTTCCATAACATTTTTTCCCCCAGGCTGGAAAAAGAACAAAACCCATGCAGTGCTGGAGGTTTCATGATGTTTTTTTATTTCAGGCTTTCCCGTCCTGGATGGGGTATCTATCTGGGTATCCCTGTTAACGAGCCGTGCCCCTTCCAGCAACTCCCAAGGGGGTTGGGCTCGTGTCCCGAGGCAAGCACATCCATCAGGCGGCCGAGGAGGGCAACGCGGGTGCCGTGAGGCACTTCCTCCGCGTCGACTCCGAGAGCCTGGAGAGGAAGAATGAAGCATGCTTGGGCCGCAGCCTCGGAGCTGAAGTTGGAAACTTCGGTGAAGATGAGTGATCCGGTGATCCACGCCTTCCATAAACTTGGTATGTTTTGGTCGAGCAGTCTGGCTTGGTAAGTGTTCCAATAGGCCGACTTGGGTCCTGACTGTGTGGCACCACCAAATTGCCGTGGAGGCACTTGAGACTTCCCTCGATTCGTTTATATGGACCAGGTTCCGGACTGTAGACAGTCTTGTGTGGTTACGTTGCTTGTCTTTGTTTTGCCAGATGCTGTTTGATGGTTAAGCCATCCCTCGCACAGCATCGACTTGGCGGGCCACCAACAGAAGTGCCAATCCCATCTAATCTGCCACATGCTGTGGAACTCTGTTCTTCAAGCCTGTCTTCAAGCCTATTCAAAAATCCCAAGCCTTGTGTGAGTGCTTTTGGCACACAGGCAACTGGTCCAACTCGTCCACGATCATGCACTTGAATGTTGAAGAGCAAAAGCAGAATTTCATCCAATTGCAGTTTTCAAATTTCTAGGGTGTCAAATCAAAACAGGCTACATTTGTACCATGATCGGCTCTGGTTTTCGGGTGATGTTTGCATTTTAGTTATACAGCGTCGGGAACAACTTGAACAACCGTTTCTGAGCTCACCGGGACACAATCCTTTCCAATCCCTAGTCACAGTCAGTTTCTTCATCGGCAACAGCTCCCTCCTCTCCTTGTATTTCTCCTGGCATTCTTTTGTCAGATGGCGTGCAATGTTTGTGTTGGACTATGAGATTGAGGGATGCGCAGCTTGCGCAGCTTGCGAGTTTTCCAACTCTCGTTCGCTCACGCCTTGACCCGTGGGGCGAGCCTCGTGGCCGCCTCCCCGAGGCTGAACGCCGCTGCACCTGGCAGCGCTGGAGGGCCGCGACGAGGTGGTCGAGCTGCCGCTGAGGTCCGGCGCGTCCGTGGAGGAGAAGGACAGAGACGGTCGCAGACCCCAGAGCTGTCGCAGCCACGGGAACTGTGTCGGGGAGGAGAGCGGATGCCTTTTACTTGCCTTCAACATTTGTCCAAGTGGATCCTTTTCCTGTCTCTGCATGAAATGATGTTTCTGGTATAGACATCCGTGACAAGTATGATTCGATGAGTTGCTTGTCTTGTTGTCTTGTGTCTTCTTCTGATGAAAGTGCCAAAGCAGGTTTGCCCGGTCAGATCTCTCTTACTTTCTGAAAACATCTCTGTCCGCGTAGCAATGACATGGCACAATGAGGGATGATTGATCAGTCAGTATGGATCAGGGATAAGGGCCTGAAGATATGATATTAAAAAACAACGTCGGTGGGTTTCAATCCTTCTGAGTGAAAGCTGATATTGATGGATATGTTCGGACTCTCAAGTCTAGCACAATAGACTCCAAATCCCTTTGTCTTCAAACCTGTACCAATTATATAGATAGGTTTCAACCCTGCACAAACCTTCCTTTTCACTGTATAGTGGACAGTGTAAGTTTCCCTTGGCAGAAATACTTGTCCCATGACTTTCATGCCTGCCACCAAGCCGCACCTCGCATTGTGTTTCAACCCGGCACCTCACCTCACAGCTCTTGCGTTTTTCAACATCTCAACTTCCAAAAGTGGTCCGACGCTGAGGTGTTTTGTACCTTTTCACTTCGAAATCGGCTTCGCGCCACAACGGCGTGCAACTTTTCATCTCTCATCTCCCCAGATGTCTCCGCGCCCGCTGCTTTAGCGAGCCTACTTTTCAACCCTCCGGAGCCACAAAACCACGAAAAAACACAGTGTTTCGCGACTTTCCTACCTTTTCGCGCACCTGCATCTTCTTTCTTCTGATCTTTTCTCGTCTTCTGACTCTTCTCCCTGCTGACTGCTTTTTCATCTCTCCATATCGTCGGAAGTTTG